CCCGCCTCGCTCAGCGGCGCCGGCTCAGGCGCGCCCGCCCCGCCCGCGCCCGCACCGGCGCGCACCTCCGTCTGGTGCTGGTGGGGCGACAGCCAGCAGCACGAGGAGCTGCAGCTCACCAACACCACGCACCTCGACAGCCAGGCCGCCGCCGGCGCCACCTAGGCTCGCGCCACCGCCGGCGACAGCTTCGAGCGAAATGACGGGAGGGGCCTGAAGCGATAACAAACTTTCGCAGTTTTATATAGGAATTCAACGCCATTTCTTATGCGTAAATACTGTAATACAATATGTAAACACTTTCCCTAATATCTCTCTGTTGATATTACTTAAGCAATTAAACCCTTTTAATTATTAAATGACTTCCTGCACTTCGTGTGTATTTATTTGCGAATTAAAGCAATGTTTATAAACGTAGGTAAACAACCTAAGGACATCGAGAGCGGGCAAACTCGTAAAGGAAACGAAACTGAAATACGTTTTTTCTTTAGAACGGATTGGTATGATATGTGTAGCAAGACGTAATTAATCTGCAAGAAGCTAAAGGTTACAAATAAATAAGAAAAATATTCGATGGGATTGGCACAAAACTAATAGTGGTTGGACTAAGTGATTTGTAATCGTTTTGTGTGTTCAATTTTTGCGCCAAATTATTTTCACAAATCAGTCCAACTTTGTCGACGTTTAATTTCAAGACGCTGTGTAATGAAATTCATATGAACAATATCTCTAACAAGATCGATGAAACTGCACTAACGCTATAGCACACTGCGGACCAACCATAAAATCGTTCATTTACGAACATCCTTAAATTACATATTTTTCAATTTCATAAGTGTTTCGTATGACTTTTGACCATGTATAATGCATTCAAAGAACAAATTTAGTAATTTTAATACGGTAAAATGAAATGTCAATGTTCAGACATCATAATTTGCATATGTAAACAGAAAAGAAACAGATAAAATTATTTATCAAAGGATAAGAATATATTATTACTACTGCCCTTGAAAGTGCCACGATATGAGAAAAGTTGAAATGCATCAGATAGCCACTAAGGAGAGGGACCACAATGTTGAAATATTCAAGTCATTTTCGTCATTCAGTCATTTTCGTAAAGTGATTTACGTTTATAAGGACGCTATTAGAAACAACTTATCTCAAATACTCAAACTTAACTCAACTTACAAAGCTATCATTTTCCAACGAGGAAATCCCATCCATAATTCGGTAATAAAATCTTAATATTTGTTGGCTCCTTTAATTATCAAGTACATATATATATATATATATATATATATATATATATACATATATATATATATATAATTAATGGTGAATTTTTAAGAACCTCGACACTATGAAAAAACGTAGATACTATGAACATTAAGATGTCTCTCTCGATGTATTCACTTTCAATATATTAAATCACGAAAATTCTGAGATCTTGAAATTTTGAAACACAGATGGTTAGAAACTGTTTCTCTTTTACGGTATATTTAATTTAAGTGTGAATGGTAAAACAGAAACTTATGGAAAACAAATGTTCTTCGCAGGAATGATTATCTACCAGGTAAGTCTATCTTTGTACGAGTTCGCAGCCGCGCCCTGAGTGAAAGACACTTCACATCAAATGAAATATGGACTTGAATACTATAAATTATGTTTAATTCTACCTCCCTAGAGGAATTCAAAGAAGTTCTAATGATAAAAATTTAGAATAAACAAAAAAATCCAAAATACAGTAGAAAACAGCTTTAAGTCAGCCTTTAGTTGTCCCGAGTCCGAACGAATAAATTATATATTGTCTTCCCGCAAAAAATGATCTGTTTATAAATGTTTCCTGCCTTTAGTAGACAAAATATTGGTTTCAGAGGTTTTTTCCCACACAAGTAAATGTCAGAAAGTTGAAACGACACATTTTCACTAGTGGTGAGCGCCGTGTCCTTGCTTTCAGCCTCTAAGAAGTGATTTACATCCCAGGATATATTCTAGAAACATCTCAGCTCTTTTTAGAAAAGTGAAAATCTGCTGCCACTTTCCCTATTTTCCACTATTTTGTGGAAGGTGTCACCATAGTGACGTTCAAGCTCCCGATTGGATGAAACAGCGGATACCTGGCAGGGGAAGAGTTGCGAAAATCGCAGTGTCGGTAGATAAGTGGGTAGAATTTAGCTGCTGTGAACTATAGTTTTCCATGGTTTCTCCGATCAACACCAGGTGAATGCCAGAACAGTACCCTAACAAACGAGCCACTAACAGCGCCCGATCTTTCCTTCTCCTTCCAAGTCTTATCCTTATCCCTTAATTACCGCACTTACACTAACACACATGTCGGGAGACTGATCAGGAGCTTAGAGCTGGTCCCGGCTGAGGCGGTGCCCCACTGGTGGGAGGTACCTGGTGGAAAAGAAAACCCCGCTAGCCGACAGGGAGGTCGACGCCGATCTCACCATTCAGCGGGGGAAAATAAACCTACACGGGATTAATAACCTTAGCAATTGACACGCTCAGCCAAAATGCTCTCCAAAACCGCTTCTAAAAATATGATATACATCTAGAATTTGTAAATTGCTCCATCTAATCGAAATCAGGGTCAATGGCCTATTTTTATCACAAATGTAAATTACTTATACCATATCTTACATGAAGCAACCTATTCAAGCCAATGCAATTTTGTCCACATTTTTTGGCATGAGCCAATTGGCAAATAGTAAAGAGAAGAAATGTACACGAATCTAGGCAACAATAATTTCATTTCATTGTGATTTATTTTCTTTTATATTTGCCGAATTAATGAAGTATTCATTCCTGTATTAATATGGTATTCCTATGATATTCACATTATTGTATTTACTTCTGGAGTCTAGCTGCAGATTATTTACCTTTTCAGTTCCAATTCTTGAAGATATTATTTTGAATTTAAGTTAAAAGGTGAACACAATACCTGAGGAAATCAATACATTACAGATTTTTAGAAATGTCCTTAAGTATCAGAGTTACCTACAAAATAAGTATCATAATAATTCTTGTTACTATCTGAATACTGTAAAAATTTCAATGAACTATAATTAAACTAATTTGATTAATTATAATCTTGCAAAATATCACACTGACGATATATTACTTGTTCAAAAAATTCTTGTTTCTAACTAATTACGATTCTGATCTGTTTTGTTAAGTTTGATTTTAGAAATTCCAAGTGGTGAAATAATTTTACATCACCCTAAATTAATGTTTAATTATGTGCAGATAAAACATATCTAGTAATATAACTTTTCACATCGTTTGTGAATGTTTACAGTTGTATATTTTCTCGTTAGTTTCATCAGGTTATGCCACTCCCTAAATACTGGCAACTGTGTTCTATGCCTTCATTATTGTGTGCTGAAATGCTTCTTTCTCACATTTACAAATGCATTACTGAGCACCAGTAAAAAAAGTATCATTAAAGAAATTGCTCTATTACATAAAGCTTAATACTAGAAAGTATAGCTTAATCTATTGCAGTTCAATTTAGGTTCAGTTCAACTGTCCCTTGTCACAGACGTCAACTTTCATGATTCAGATGTTTATTATACACCTTACATTTTTCTTTATACATTATATTCAAAAATATTTACATATTGCACTTCTAGCTACTGAAAAGGCTAGGGAAGTTACAAAAGCTTTTCTTAACCAAACTGGTGGTACATTAACTGATGAAAGTTACAATTTGAAATAAATTGACAGAGAAATCAATATTTGAAAATTCCAATATAAAAATAGATTTTTTGTAAAGAATGGTAAATTTCTTGAGAAACATCAAGTAAAGTAAATCCTTGAAGAATATGAAGTAGTAGATAGAATACATCAGTCCATTCTGTCACTTTGGTTTAAAATGGCAGAATATGGTGCATATATAGTACATTCTTTAGTTTAAGAAAACACAGAGCAGAAAGTAAACCAGAGATTTATATTACAAAGGATGTTTAGAATGAACAATTTTAAGCAAATTTTTCCCCCTAGAACATGGTTGTATGAATGGGTGAAAACCAAAATGGTGAACGTGACATTTTATAAATTATGAGAAAAACTATCTAATTCAATATTACTGTAAAGTCGTGGTGCTCTGTTTCACAGTTAAAACCATGGCATTTCAGTTGTTCATTAAAACAACAAAATCAGATTGCAACTGAAATATAGCCTAAAATAAATTTTTTCTCAGAATTTATAAAATGTCACTTATACATTCTAGTTTTCACTGATTTTTATGTACCATAATTCTTTAGAATGTTTATACACCATAAACATTATTCTTACTAATGTAAAAAAATTAACACCACAAGCTCAAAAATTGATCTTAAAATAAAACACATTGATACTGAACTTTGTTGTTCTTTTCAAAAATTGTGAATAAATATTGAATTCACGCATTAATAACCAAATATTAAACTTTATTTTGTATCCACAATAACAGAAGTAATTGTACAGATTTAAAAAGTATATGTACATCATCAAATGTTTAGCTGAAAGCTCTAAAAAATGTATTTTCTTAAAAAGTACAAGAGGTCTCAGAACAACTTTTTGTTCTGTTCAATATTGGAAGAAAATGTGAATGCATTTTAAAGCTTAAAAAGATATTCGAATTTGATCATAATGTTAATCAATAATTTCCTTAAAAAAAAAGAATAGTGTCAAACTTTACAATTGTGGTTTTAGTCTTTCTTGTGGAAAATGAACAAAATTTCTCTTGAAGTTATTTTTAATAATTGGCAACAGAGACATTGTGCTATTTAAGGTCATGGACCTATTAATTTTCCAGCCAATTATCATCACATTTAATGCCTAGAGCACAAATTTTACTTACACTATATTGCTGAACTTGTCTACATTTTTTGCAAAATGCTAAAAGGTGTTTAAGTACTTTCTACTTATCAAATACCAAGGAATTTAATAACTTGAATTCACAAAGCTTCAAAATGCATGTTCACTGAATACTCTGTATTGCACCTGCTTTATATAATAAATTTAAGAAAACACAATAAATTATTTCTGTACTCTTATTTACATATTAATTTTACATTACACTTTGGCCAGTCATCAAAGCATGTTTACAGAGCATACACAGAGATTTCTCCAAAGATGTGTTTGGTATATAACTCTTTTCAAATGCAGTATATTGCTGGTCCACATCACACATATCAAGGCAGTGACCTTTGCCCAAGCAGCAGTATTGACTTTCAGCTCAGAAACAGGCAGGTAAGCAACAGGTAGAATCGTTATGTCAGTGACGTACAAAATCTGGATCAGGCAGGTACAAACCCACTAATGACACAACTAAGACTCCTGTCATGCCTGCAAGAGCTACAGTGGTAGTCGTATTAAATAAAGCTGCATATTGGTAACGACAATACCAGGCTATACCTAAAAGAACACTCAATGAGAAAAACAAAAGATTCCCCAAATCCCAGTCCCTCTGAGCTGCTGCTTCATTGGCAGCATTAGAACCTGAGGCTGAAGCTGTACTTGAACCACGCCGAGATGGTCGTCCGTTGGTGTTGCTGCTAGATCTTGTTCTTTGCTGATGTACTAAGCAATGAACTACACAATTATCAAATAAACCAAGAGACTGCAAGGTATCAGAATCACGCTGCAGAACTTGACCATTGAAAATGAGGCGAACAAGCTTGTCAGCAGCAAGCTCTATACCAAAATGGCGTCTGAAATTATAAATGTCATTTAAGTGATCACGCTTTCTTGACAACATTTTCGGAATCTTTAAAATTATCATCCAATAACTTCTTACCTTTTGAAATCTCCAAGGAGCTCCTCTAACCTTCCTTCTACCAATTTTTGGTCATCATTGAGATATTTGAGGCGAATACGAATGTTGCCAGGGAGTGGTGTTTTCATATCACTTGAAGAAGCTTCAAGAGTTTCCTCCAAATCACTTTGTCTAACTGAATCACAGGGTGAGTGTCTGTTATCATTCGTGTTAGGGGTATCAAGAAGAGTTTCTTGCCGACTCTGGAAAAAAGCCAGCCTTCTTTGCCGTAACACAGATGATAATGGTTCTTCATTAGATTGGTTACCAACTTCAGAAGACAAATCATTAACAGCTGCAGCAAGTTCAACATTCAACTCCTGCCTACATGAATTATTAAGATCCAGACATGCATCACTTTGAACTGCTTGAGATGAACCAGCAGCTTCTGTTGGGTGATCATTTTCCTTAGGTCTAGCATGATTATCAGAAGTACCCTCTTCAGGTACTTCATCAGAACTGGAAGTTTCTTGACCAGTATCAATATTATTTTCAATTGCAGCTGAAGGTGTACTAGTGGACGTGGGTAATTCAGCTAAGACTTGATGTCTACTTCTTCTTTCCAGTATCAACACTGTTCGGATTATTTGACGTTCTGAAAGTCCAGTAGAACGCCAGGCTATGATTCCAATTAATATTAACATAATAACAATGAAGAACTGAATCACTTCGTCTCCCACGCCTTCAATTATAGGCATTGTGTCAAAAATCTTCAGAAGTGCCAATTAGAAATCTGTAACAATAAACACTCATTACATACGTTCTCTACACTGCGTAAACGAATGTACAATGTCTTCAATAAAAGTAATGGATTATCCCGCTCTATGTGGCCGACTTGGCCTCAAACTTCTTTTTCGTAGGTTAACATCCACATCAAGGTAAGCTGCCTGACCCCATTTTCACTCGTGAAACCTTTGATTCTCCGATCATCAACTCGAATGACACCATTACAGAAAGTAAGCGTAATACTCACAGAACTTGGGCGTTCTCTTCCAAGCGCCTTCCAAACAGTTAACTGTGTCTAGATTGGATAAATCACAGGGAAAATGTCACTTAACTTTGGAGCTTGACTCCACTATGCCAGCCAATATGCTGTTTTAGAGTGTGTTTATGTAGGCTCTCTGCCTGCTAAAACAGTTGACAGAAACACACGTCATTGCATATCGCCTAGAGGTGCATAGGGTAAGAGCGAGTTTCACCATCTCAAGTCAGAGTCAGGTGCTTGCTGGCGCTTGCTGGTTGCAGCGAAGTTAGGGGGAAGGGCGGGAGCAAACAGCGAGTAGAAGTAGGCGGTGTTCCTGTGTAATCAACGAGAACGTACGGAACTGGAGTTTGCTGCGGGGATAGTGTAGTGGTGGTCATCTCTCACGATGGCTGATCTTTTAGCAGTTCCGCTGAAGAAACCATCAGATGTTGATGTTGTTAAGCCTCTGAAAAATCTAATTGCATCAACATACAGCACTGCTGACAAGCCGGAAGATTATAGTGAACAGATAAATGATTTTTTTAAATTAAGGACTAATGCGATTTGGCGAGCATTTGAAAAGTATGAAAGTTCTTTGGAGGTTATATACAGGTGAGATTTAATTGAAATTGTATATTTTGTAACTGTCTCCATGTATTACAAAATTTTGCCAGATTTGAGAGGTGTGCGAAAAGTAATAACGTCCGTTCAATCCAATTTTGATCATACATTCTCAATCTTAAGACTTATCGCATGCACTTGACATAAGAAATCAGAAAAAACACGCGAGGTAATTGATTAGAGCTCAAGGTCAAGTCAAACAATGCACGAGCTGATTTACTTTATTGCATCCCCAACTAAGGATGATTCATCTGATCTTCCAGAGGATGATGTCAGCTCGTCCGCTTAAAAGTTACCGGATTTTGAATGGAATTCATTTAAGTTTCTTTCTTGTTACAGTTACTATGACCAGTTGGTGGCTCTTGAAACAAAAATTCCTCCTCAGGAAGTTCAGATTCCCTTCAAGTGGAAAGATGCTTTTGATAAAGGATCATTGTTTGGTGGTCGGATGAGCCTCAGTGAGTCCTAAAATATAATTGTGAATATTTGTGGTACCCAAATTGGAAACAAAATGTCATTTAATTCATTTTTGATATGGTTTAGCGGTATCATCATTAGCATATGAGAAGGTATGTGTTTTATTCAACATTGCTGCGCTCCAAAGTGCTGTGGCATCATCACAGAGTGTAGAAAATGATGACTCCTTGAAATTAGCTGCAAAATTATTCCAGGTGAGTAAAGTATTTTCCATTGTAAAAGGTTTTTGTTGAGGACAGCTGCCTAATTGAACTAAAGCTGTTGAAAAAGGTATAGAGAATTTCTACTATTTGGGTGTTAACATGAAAAAAATTTCCCGGAGCAGTAACTGGGGAAAATCTTTTAATTTAAAGTAAAATTGGGCATTGTTTAAGAAAATATGTATTCCCAGATGTCATGAACTTTATTTTTTGATAATTTTAATAGCAGATCGAAAGTATGAGAAATATTTATGGCAGTGTAAGAAATTAATGTGCAAAGGGCATCATGAGGATGCATACAATCAGTTCCATTGAAAGAAAATTCCACAATCCTTAATATTTTTTATTTGAACTTGCTGAAATGCTCATTATAGCTCCAATAAGATTGGAACGAAGGTTTAGAAAATAAATGAAGTAGACAATGTGCATGAAGATTGGATAAATAACAATAAAGTAGAAAAAACAGTCTTCGGAAACGCATGCAAGGTAGTCTGCTCTGTACAATCGTGTTGGTGAAAGGAGCGTAGCGAAATTTGCGTGGTCAGACGGAAGAGCAGGCCTAATGGCCTGAGTCTCGCCACGTAAAATAAGGCATAATTCAATTCAATTCAATACAATCACACTAGCACATGGTGTGCCATCTGCTGATCCTTCAGTAGGTCTGTATTGAAAGAACAGCCAAGAAATTTTGCAAAATGACTGATTAAACTATTAACAGTTTTACCTACGGCAATTCAGTTATGAGAGATTCAATAATACATCTCGTTTGTATATTCATCTCATTCATTCTCGTTTGTATTTGTATTCATCTCAATTATGAATGTTGATTTTTATTAATGTATTTATTTGCAATGATATTAAACACAAAAAAATTGCCTGTGTGATTGGAAGAGAACATTCTACTTCTAGTTGCTAGTTGGGGGAAGGGAAACGATTTTTAAATAGGATTGATGGAACATAGAGAGATTCAGGTAACCACTTGAGGTGGATAGCAGGTCTCTGAAGTGGTCTTTCTTTAATGGTCACATAAGTTAGTAATAAAATTATAACACAAGTATATAAAATTTGGTAATGGCATGAAGAATATGACATTGGCATCATTAAAGAAATATATTTGAGAAGTTTTCTCATAGATATTTATTTTGGCAGGAAGCTTTTTCAATTATATTGCAGTAATCGCTCTTCAGTGTGATTCTGAAGTGGCTGGAGGTTCTGCCAAGACAGTTGTCAAATGTATTTCTTTAATTACAACCTGGATGATGCCATCACTTGGGATTATTCAGTTCCAATTTTAAGTAAAGTATAATTTTGAAGAAGTGCCCCTTGAAACCTTCATTTTGACCTTAGGTTTACCAGTACTTCACAAATTGTTTAAAGTCAATGATTTGGGGGAAAAGCTTCAAAATTTCGTATGTTCAACCATGTTTTATAGGAAAGTATCTATGAGAAATGCTTGAGCAGATTTTGAATATTTCAAAGTAATAGAGAGATACAATAACCAAAATGTGATAAAAAGTGTAGAGGTCCTGATATACAAAATTAGTTTTCAGTAAAAAATCTCAGATTTGAATCTTGTGTAGTTTCCTCAATATTGAAGTAAGAAAGTTAAAATTTGCCACGTAATATCTCAACATAATGTTAGTTTTTTTAAATATGTAATTTTGACCTCCTACCAGGAGGAATGGCTCGGGGCATCAACTGATGTCACTGCAGACCCAATGACCAGGAAGCCCTAGGTTTGAGTCCCGAAGGTGGCAGGATATTCGACACTGGCTTGTTAGCTAGGTCAAATTCAGTTGCTGTCTGGAGGAGAATTTTAGCGTCCGGCTGCTCTGATTGGTAGTTTTCCATGTTTCCTGCTCTGATTGGTTTCTCCAATGAAAACCAGGTGAATGCCAGAGCAGCACCCTAACAAACGGGCCATGGACTGTGCCCAATCTCACCTTCTACTCCCTTGTTCTATCTTCGCTCCTTACATACACACTTACAATAACATGCACTACACTACCACACATGCCAGGAGACTGATCCTAATCAGTCTCCTTAGAGTTGGTCCCAGCTGGGCCAGTGCCCCACTGGTGGGAGATACGTGGTTGGAAAAGCCCCACTAGCCAATGGTAGGTTGGCACAAGATCTCACCATACAGCTGGGAAAAGATCACTGCCACCAACAAAACATGCATTACACTTATTAATGGGCTAATTATTGTTAGAAGACGTGCTCAGACTTGCCAAACAATCAATCAGGCGACCTCCTAGATCTTACTATCACTGTAAAAATGAAGTGTAAAGTAGATAATTGTTGTAGAAAGCCCTAAAACTTTTTTTTCTGTTTTTCCAAAACGGCTTACACAGGAGAGAACTTGCAATGCCATTGTCATAAAGATAACATCAGATAGCATTGCAACACTTGTAACAATTGGCTCTTCATCAATGTTCCCATGACATGTGCTTTTGTTTTTTTCATGTAGGATTCAAAGACGCCTAAGTAGAGCCTGGATTTCTATGCAATAAAAATGTCGTGTATTACGCACAACAATGGTGGCTGGATTTTCGACTCTAGCTTGTTAGCTATGTTGAATTCAGTCGCTGTCTGGAGGAGCATTCTAGCGGCCGGCTGCACTGATCGGTAGTTTTCCATGGTTTTTTCGATCAACACCAGGCGAATGCTGGAGCAGCACCCTTACAAACTGGCCAAGGACCGTGTGCGATCTCACTTTCCCCTACCTTGTCCAATCCTCACCCCTTACACTGACACTCACACAACACATTAACACGACCTACGCACTTATTACACTGTAACCACTGAAGAATCGCACTGTACAATACAACACTGGGGATTAGAAAACACAGGTCAACGTGGAAGCGTCCTGAAAATTATTGAAATTGTTATAGTGTTACAAAGAATATTGGTGGCGGAATTATATTTTAGTCATTTAAAAGTGGGCAATTCTTTCTATTTTTATGCGTTTCTACTATGCTATGACAGATAAAAATGTTAGGGAGTGCCCGCCACACAGAAACACGCATTATACAACTCAATTCGTTACCACAACACAATACTTAGTATCAACTTCGACGCAACAAACAATAGATCTGCGCAATCTATTACTCACCACTGACTCTCTGGCGCACCAGCAACAAACTCGGGACTAGCATTTGGAATACGAAATCAGACAAGTCAGCTATGAACCGGCATCATCTCAGGCATGGCTTTTTGTCTACAATATGGATATACATCTTTTGTAAGTTATAGATACCACGCAGACCCTAAACCAAAGTAAACTTTCAAAGTCCTTTATTTGATGAATGAGGATTTGGATCACGTCACTGGGAACCTTGACACCCGTACTTAACTGGGTCTACGAATCTGACACACAAAGACTTTCGACAAAGCATCGTACATACTCACTGTCTCACGGCTACTGTAATGCACTCAGGCCCGGAAAGCATTGTCTTCCTGCCTGGCCTCCGGCGAACGACTCGCACGAAACTATATGTGACTGCGCGCCAACCCCGTGACAAAGTAGCCTTCCACCAGTAGGACGACACAGCTGCCCATCTCTTTTAGGGTAGGCTACTTGCACCAGCCCGAAAAATTGCTTCGTGGGCCATATTACACTTATATGGAGCCAACACGGACAGGAAAGCAATGAAAAGACAGGCGAGCAACGCTGGGACCGGAGCTAGACTCAGCATGACTACGGGAGCCACTCCACACTCTGACACACTCACACTCTGACACACTCACACTCTGACACACTCACACTCTGACACACTCACACTCTTGGACACACTTCACACTCTGACACACACTCACACTCTGGACACACTCACACTCTGACACACTCACACTCTGGACACACTCACACTCTGACACACTCACACTCTGGACACACCTACAACCTTCTGACACCACACTCTGACACACTCAACACTCTGACCCTACACTCTGACACACCACACTCTGACCACTCACTGACACTCACTCTGACACACTCACACTCTGACACACTCACACTCGACACACTCACACTCTGACACACTCACACTCTGACACACTCACACTCTGACACACTCACACTCTGACACACTCACACTCTGACACGAACACTACACTCTGACACACTCACACTCTGAACACTCACACTCTGACCCACTCACACTCTGACACACTCACACTCTGACACACTCACACTCTGACACACTCACACTCACACACACTGCACTCACACTCACACACACACACATCACACTCCACACACACTCACACTCACACACACTCACACTCACCACACACTCACACACACACACACTCACACACACACTCACACACTCACATCACAACACTCACATCACACAACTCACTCACACACTCACTCACCACACTCACCTCCACACTCACTCACAACCTCACTCACACACTCACTCACACACTCACTCACCACACTACACACTCACTTACACCTCACCACAACGGTCACTCACACACTGTCACTCACACACTCACTCACATCACTTACACAACTAACA